AAGTCCCCACCTGGCGTGAAAACTACATGTGGAATTGTTGATGGTTATAGTATGTCTACCATGTTTGTTCTCTTACAGGTTGAATTTTATTTGTAGATATATATCCGTACAAAACACTTGTGGTTGAAATGTTTATTCCTTTATGTTTTCGTACATGAATATAAATACATATATATATATATATATATATATATTTATTTATATATATGTATAGATGTTTACTCCAAATATGTTGTAAGTATGTATTTGAACGCCAATTGTATATATAGAAGTTGTTTTTGAATCTATATATATACATTTATATATATATATACATTTCTACACCTTTTTTACCGAAAGTATACAATCCTCTTCAGAAAGGCACACCTTTAGTGTGTAGACGCTTTATGCTAAACGCTCCCATGACGTTGATCATTTATTTATTTCGGCGTTGAACAAGGATAATAATCTAGGCATGAAATCGGCTTCTTGGAATGACGGTATATAACGACAAATGCAGTAAATTCTACCAAATACCCCCTTCTTTACGTCTCATATCATCTTTTATCTATAGACACTTTCGTTCTATCAACTTAGGGACGTACTCGGTCAGCATTAGATTCCTTCAAGATGAAAACTTCAACTTATCAAGCTTAGCCTCTCGTTTGAGTCTTTCTATTATATTGTTACCTTCACGCAACTGTTCACCACCCCTTTTCGTGCACTCTTTGTCCACAACCCCTTAACACTCGTTGCTTACGGGTCCTGTCATGCCCCATGTTGCTATTGTACACCATCATTGTCCCTCTACATACTTGCAGCCTTCTTCATTCTCATATCCTTTATATCCATACTTTCATATTTGTATCATGTGCCCTTGTTGTAAATGCTCATTTCCCTATACCGTTTATATTCTCCTTGATCTGCATAGTAACGGCGGCCATGTCGCTGGCAAATACTGTCAAGTCTTCTCTGGGACCCGTCGGTTTAGACAAGATGTTGGTGGACGATGTTGGGGTACGTTTATGCCTTATTGCTTGGTGTATCTATAGTTAACGATGTTGGGGTAAATGTATGCCTTAATCCGTGCTATATATATACATATCTGTGTATGTACGTATATATATATACATATATATATATTTGTATCTATGGCTATGCATATGTATATACTAATCGTTATAATCATTTATATGTTGTTTTGTAAGTTAAGATTTGTACAGTATGTAACTTTTACTATACCATCCATCGCTAATGCTCAAAAGTGTCCTTCGCTCTTCTTGTATGCGATCTTCCCTGCTTGTGGCACACTTGTGAGTAGTCTGCGGGTAGCTTTCTGTTACACTAATACACTACCAATATTATACAAAACGTCTATTTTCGTGTTCTCATGAATCCATATTATTTCCCTAAATGATTGGATTCATTATAACCCACGGGGCCCTTAATCATTCACAACCTAAACATATAGGAGAATAACACGCGCTAAGGACATATTGACACATCTGCCGAACACGCCCACTCCCACCACAGGATGTCACCATCACCAACGACGGCGCTACAATCCTCTCACTGCTCGAAGTAGAGCACCCTGCGGCCAAAGTGCTTGTCGAGTTGGCTGGACTCCAGGACTCCGAGGTGGGGGATGGCACTACCTCAGTAGTGATCTTGGCTGCGGAGCTACTCAAAAATGCGGGAGAACTAGTAGACCAGAAGATCCACCCCACAGCTGTGATTGCGGGGTATTTACTGGCTATGAAACAGGTAGGAATGTGAGAGGAATGTGATGTCTTTCATTTTGATTGGTTGGTGGCACTAGAGTTAGCTCGTAGTAGAGGACCAATAATTTCTCTTGATCAGTCGCCGTGTTTGCGGGTAGTTCACTGGCTATGGTATAGAGGAGAAAGTGAACGGAGTGTGATGTTTTTCATTTTATTGGTCAGTGCCACTAGAGTTAGTTCGTACTAGAGGACCAATAGTTACTTTTGCAATTTGATCAATCGCCGTGTTTGCGGGTATTTTACTGGGAATGTATATGGGAGGTGACTCTGGGCATGATTGGGTTCTACCTTCCGACCTGCTTTGTTGGAGTAGATGAATTGAGTCGTTTTAGAGCTGTGATGGCTGGTTTGGTTTGGGCTAATGATGGTCAGTAGTTGACTACGTTAAGTCATTGAATATATATACATATATATACTTAAGCACAAGTGTTTTGTGATATCTTCTCGCTCACGTACACGTACACGAACGAACCGACACTTCCCAAGTCGTATAATCATACTTATCGTACACGAACGAACCGACACTTCCCAAGTCGTATAATCATACTTATCATACACACACCACCTGCTTCACACATATCAGTTGCATAAATTTTGAAATATGCACTTTACACAAACCAATTGCCCACATATCGATATATGCACTGAGCACATCTACCACATTCCCATACTCGTACTAATCACACGCATACTGGTACCACCTCAGGCTCAAAAGTTCACCCAGACATACTCGTACTAACTACACACGTACTAGTCACACACGTACTGGTACCACCTCAAGCACAAAAGTTCATCCAGACATACTCGTACTAATCACACACGTGCTGGTATCACCTCAGGCACAAAAGTTCATCCAGACATACTCGTACTAATCACACGCGTACTGTACCACCTCAGGCACAAAAGTTCATCCAGAAAGAGATGACACTCCTAACTGAAGACCTGGGGCGTGATAGTCTCATCAACTGTGCTAAGACCAGCATGTACTCCAAGATCATTGGCACAGACATGGACTTCTTCTCCGAGATTGTCGTAGACGCCATGCTGGCCACCAAGCGTGTAAATGCCAAGGGTATGTGGGTTGTTGTAGAGATTATCGTAGACGCCATGCTGGCCACCAAGCGTGTAAATGTCAAGGGTATGTGGGTTCGTGGGCTGTTGTAGACTATTTGACTGATAGTCTATTGTCCGAGGAAATGGGTGTCATGGCCAAGAGTGTGTATATAAAGACTTTGTATCTCTCTTTCTCGGAGACGGTGGCGGAAGCGGTTCGAATTAATAAACGGTCCGAGTTAATGCATATGTGTGTGTGTGTGATTCAAAGTAGCGACAAACTTGTGCGGGTGTATTTTTAAGCATGCTGACATGCTTTGTCTCTGCGTATCTTTAAGCATGCTGACATGCTTTGGCTCTCTGTCCATATTCAAGCATGCTGACATGCTTTGGCTCTCTGTCTATATTCAAGCATGCTGACATACTTCGCCTCAGCGTGTATTTTTAAGCGTACTGACATGCTTTGCCTCTGTGTGTATATATAGTGCTTGTGGCAATGCATACGGTATGTGCGGATACCAGTCATGTATAACCTCGAGTGAGTGCGTTGTGGTGCAAAGGTTTGTCCGAAGGCTTATCTTTATGCGTACACACAAGCCAGGCTAGTGTCTGCACAACTACACGTCCCCGACTTATGCGCACACGTTCCCGTGTGCACACTCAGATATATGGACGTAATACAGTATGTACACATACATATGAATTCATACAATATGTACACATACATATGGACGTACACAGGAAATGTCAAGTGTCCCGTGGGCGCCGTAAATGTGCTGAAAGCTCATGGAGCTCGGGCCAAGGATACCAGACTCGTGCATGGATACGCTCTCAACTGCACAATAGCATCGCAGGCGATGGTAAAGAGTGTCACAGACGCCAAAATTGTTTGTCTGGATGTCAATCTGCAGAAGCAGAAGCTGGCTTTGGGTGTACAAGTACAGGTATGTGTGTGTCTACGTATGGTCATATCTATATTTGTGCATGTGATGGAAAATGATATATAAACTCGAAGTTTCATGGGTGTATTTAGCGTCTAGTTATATGTGTGCGACAATATCATCACACACACATATATATATGTGTGTGTGCACATGTTTGTATACGTATTATGTTTGTTTGTTTGCTCATTGAAAGCACTGACTTCCTATAATGTATAACAATGTATGAAATATTGTATACTAACGGACTACGAAACGTATTGGGGTGTAGGTCAGCGACGCTCACGAGCTGGAGAAGATCAAAGACAGAGAAAGCGAGATCAACCGCATGCGTGCAGAGATGATCCTTGCTACCGGTGCCAACGTAGTACTGACTACCAAGGGTACGTGTATGCATTATGTTGTTTCAGTGCGATTCGGTATGCTGGCTATAAGTACATGTCTGCCCTGTCGCTGTATGTGCACGTACTCGTATATCTCCATTTCAATGTACGTATATTTACATTGGTGTATACAAGTGTAGTGTCTATGGGCGCCAACGTAGTCATGACTGTCAATGCCGTGTGTGTGGACGATTTTGCATGAATGTGGTTCTTGTGCATGTGTATATGAGTGCGCAGTGTAGTGTTCAAGGGCACCAACGTAGTACTGACTACCAACGGTATGTGCGTGTCTAATTCTGCTTGTGGCCTGCCTATGTATGTTTGTGTGTGCTTCGCAGCCTCGATTATCAGACGTAATACCTGTGCGAAATGGTAGCTACTTACCTTTCCTTTTGTATGTACTATATTGGATGCAAACTATAGCAATAGCTATCATACTTGATAGTTTTGGGATGCAGTATCCCTAAGCACCTCGGTTGTGACTACCGTGGACACCACACATCCCATACTCCCGAACTGACCTCATCCCCACACACACATACATACATACACAGGCATCGATGATGAGGTGTGTAAGCTGATGATCGCCCGAGGTGTTATGGGTATCCGTCGGTGCAAGAAGGAGGATCTGAAGCGCATCGCCCGCATCACAGGCGCAACGCTCATCAGTTCGCTTGCGGATATGGAGGGAGACGAGTCCTTCGATGCCTCCAGTCTGGGCTATGCCGAGAGTGTGGCACAGGAGCGTATCTCTGACGACGAGTTGATTATCATCAAGGGCACCAAGGTAATTTATCTGTCTTATGTGGATATAGAGGTAGATCTAGTAAGGGTGTTGATAAATGGGTAGGCGTATTCGCATGGATGTGAATGTAGAGGCGGACAGGTGCTTCCACTGGAACTGTGGGGCAAGAATGTATCCCTGAATATTGATAGATACTATTTAATATATTCAGACATATATATGTATATATATATATATGCATTTGTACTTATACTTGGATCTAATGTATGTATATATATGAATTGAATAAATACATACATGCTTGCATGCCAATACACGCGCACACGCACGCACACTTATCATCACGTACTCGGTTACATCTATTATCTCCTTGTATTACACATCCAAACACTCATGCATACATCCGCGCATACATGCATTTAACACCTCGTTCGCTTCCTGTGCCACTCTTCCAGGCCTATTCCTCCGCATCCATCATCCTGCGCGGCGCCAACGACTTCATGTGCGACGAGATGGAGCGTGCCGTGCACGACAGTCTGTGTGTGGTTCGTGGAGTGATTGAGAGTGGTAAGGTGGTCCCGGGTGGGGGTGCTGTGGAGGCTGCCCTGTCTCTGCACTTGGAGAACTATGCGCTGTCTCTGGAGTCGCGCTCGCAGATTGCCATTGCTGCGTTTGCCAAGGCGATGCTGGTGATCCCCAAGACCTTGTGTGTAAATGCGGCGAAGGACACGGTTGAGTTGGTGTCGCAGTTGCGAGCGGCGCATAACACGGCACAACAAGCCAGGTATGCATGACGATATAATATCTATCTATCTATATATATATATATGTTCTTGTGCCAGTATATGTGGTAGTGTTCTAGTGTAAGTCGAAATGTTAATAGATTTCTGTGATAGTTCCGTAGCGTAATCCGTCAGGATCAGACGGCCGTTGTTGTATATGTGTAAGAGAGTCTGGATTATATAGATTTCAAGTGATCTTTGATTCATTTATGTGCAAAAGCCCATCCAAGATGCTCCCACTGAAACCGGAATGTACCTGAAATGGCTGCAACTAGATTATATCAACACTTTTCATCACCTTTAACTCGGCCAACATGTCAGTTTTGCTCTCGCGCCTTCTGTCCATCTTTAAGATCATAACTCACACCCCAGAAAAGCGAAACTGAATCTCAAAAAGGTCGAACTAGACCTAATATAAAAAAAATCCCAATATCACTAACTCGTCCCAAACCCCCCCCCCCCCCCCCTTAAAATCCTCTTTGTACCGCCCTCTTCTATCCCTGTCGTCAAGGTTACAAGATACCCCCAGCGAGGCAGACCTAAACCTCAAATGGATTGGACTGGACCTGCACAAGGGCGAGACTCGGGACAACGTCGCCGCAGGTATTCTCGAGCCTGCTCAGTCGAAGATCAAGAGTATCAAGTTTGCCACTGAGGCCGCTATCACCATTCTGCGTATTGACGAGGCTATTCGAATTCAGGTACGAAAGGAGCCTAAGCCGTGTGTGGGCGGCTATAGACGTGTTGGTGGTGTTTGTGCGTAGGCATATACCTAGCTACCGAGTTTGGTGGGTGTGTACTTATTCCTCATGTGCTTAATTCGGAAGCGTGTACACAAGCTCTCGTCCTGGGTCCTGTTAAGTTACCACTGTGTAAGTATGTGTTGGTGTTTTGTCTGTGAACGATTGAACAAACACTTTCTCCTTCTATCAGGTGGGTACGAGGTAGTGTTTAGTCTCGTGTCCGAATGTTCATCTCAACCACGTTACAAACCTCACGACACTGATCTTTACTTTGAGTTAACCTCACATCACTCATCTTCACTTTGCGCTCATTGATTATACAACAGCCCACGCCGAGTGCAGACGATGACCCTCACTCTTACGAGAAGGCCATGGCACGCGGGCAGCTTTAGGGCTAAGCCAATCAAATGCGAGTGAATGTAAGTGACCACCGCTCACATTGGGGTACACGTTGACTCGCTGTCCGCCCGCAATCGGCATCTTCTGCGTATGAAAAGTTTGTCCTCACAAGTGGCGTTTGTTCCTTGCATATCCCATGTCATCCCTTGACACTTACACTATGCCTAATATACACAGCGCATTCGGCTATTGCATGGGCGTGTGTATGTTGTTGTTCTACGTATGTCCCATGTTATCCCTTGACGCTTACACTATGCCCATATAATATACACAGCTCACTCGGCTATTGCATGGGCGTGTGTATGTTGTTGTTCTACGTATATCTCATGTTATCCCTTGACGCTTACACTAT